CGCCACAGAGCGCCATTCACATAGTTTTCCTTTAAATTACATTATATTGGTCCCGAATCGTTGTTAATGTACATAATGAATTGTGTATTGTGCATTTTCAGCAAAACGTTTGTCTTTCTGTGGCTCTAATAAAGTCTGTGTGCTTCATTTATAGAGCTATAATATAGGTTGCGCTTTCTCTTTCCGTTTGCTCCGTTTTTTAAACACCAAACCTCAAACTCATCCATGCCAAATTGTTCATGCTTGAAGTAAACTTGTGTCCGTTTGGTGATTAAATAAACTGTTTTAGACCGCTGCTCGTGTTGAACGCGACGCGTCCGGAGTGTGTGTGATACCAGTGAATTCTCCTAGACTCAGCGCTGCGCTTTTATTTTGATTAGATAATCAAGTGTTCAAGAATAGAAGCAGTTCAAGTCTGAGAGTATACATACAATATCCATATGTATATAATTTTAATGCTATAGCCTTTGTGTATATATTTAAAGATGTGCATATTTAAGCATGACAGTTGAAATGAAATGGTAACACTTTAAAATAAGAGTCCATTTGTAGCATTAAGATTAATGAAAGCTGTGTAACTACTAGTGGTTCAGTACTGTTTTTGTTAATAAAACACTATTTTAGTTTTTGTTCAGTATCAATTTTAAAACTATCGGTTAATTAATCGGTATCGGCCAGTGTGGTCCATCCTAGCTATCGGTATCGGCAAAATCCACTATCGGTCGACCTCTACCCACAATAACACCAGACACGCCCATGTACACACCCACTGACACGCCCACAATCACACCCAGACACGCCCACTGACAGCTTCTAAGGAGGAACTTTGTTTTTGAAGTTCTCAGTAGCACATAATCAAGATAAGCACAAACGTAGACTCAGAAAAATAATAATTAATAAAAAATATTATAATTAAAATAATTTAAACAATTTAAAATTACAGTGATACAATGATTTTTTTTATGAAAACAGCATAAATATAATATAAATAATACAAATAATTATATAAATATGCTGATTTGCAAAAACAAACATTTCTTTTTTTTTACTTTCAATGTTGAAAACAGTTTTTTTTCTGATAAATTTGTGGAAAATGTGATTAAAAAAAGAAAAGAAAAACAAATGAATACTTTTATTCATCAAAGACAATAAATTGATCAAAAGTGACAGTAAAGACTTTGTAGATTTCTATTTCAAATAAATGCTGTTCTTTTGAACTTTCTATTAATCTGTGAATCCTGAAAAATAAAATGTATCACAGTTTCCACAAACGTTTAATTATCTTTTTTATATCAGTAAGTCTCCAGCGATATGTTTGTAAATATGTTAATAGATTTGAACTATACCTAGTATGAAATAGGCCTAAATGTATTTTAAATATAGTTCTTTTGTTACTAGGGCCATATTTGATCATCTGGCTTTTATGGCTCATATAGTCTGATAGAGTGAGAATATGTGGAAAAAACAGCTCAGTTTTATTCAGAGACTCAAACTGAGCAAAAATATGAATTTGCTACAGATGCTGATATTTCTATGATGAAATTGTGATGTAAATCAATGAGATCTTAATAACAGTAGAGCAGATACTGACATAAAATGATCTAAATATCAGTCGTCGCTCTATATCTACAATAATATGACTTAGTAAGATGAGATTGAAATTATCCAAACATATAATGCAATGCAATCCAGTGCTAAGTGTTCATCTGGAAATATGACTGCAGTTATTCTGACATTTACCTGATAAAAATCAGTCAAGATTTGACAGCAGAAAGACTCATGAAGTTGGACGCTTGTACAATTACACTAAAAGAGCTTTTACTGGATAAAACACTCTAAACTCTCAATCAGAGACAGAAGACGTGCAGCAGATTGAGTGACAGCAGAGTTTGATGGCTTCGAGGTGTGTGTGTGATCATGTGACGCAGGTGATCTCTGACCCGAGTCCTCCGGCGAGCAGCGCGCTCATGCTGCGTGTGAGAGTGCAGTGCTGCACCATGCTCTCCAGCGCTCGCTCCACGTCTTGTCTGATGAAGGCGTTGCATTCTCCGGCTTTCTGCAGCAGAGCTCTGACCGTCGCATCCAGCTCCTGATCCATTCCCTTCTGCAGCACCGCGAACATCTCTCCCAGCGTCACCACAGCCACACGAGACACGCCGGAGCGCAGGTTACGAACCTTCATCAGAGAGAGACACACCAGATGACGCATGATCAGAATAATCACACTACTGCCTTCTGTAGAGCTGCTTCACAGCTGAAACTAGTTCCATCACTGATACATTTTGCAACATTAACTATGTTTCCATCCACCTATTTTTATGCACATTTTGGAATATCGCATAAAAAAAACCTTGGATGGAAACGCCAAGATGCGCATAAATTCTAAAAATGCACATTAAAAAACGTGAGTATGATAAACTTTTTATCCGATAAGAAAAAATGCATATAAACTATGATGAAAACACTGAATAATTTCCACTATGCGCATCTAAAAAGTCATGTGACGGGATAACTTGACTAGCAGCGGACCGATCTCGTTCACAGCATCTGAAACGTTGTTCTGAAAAGCCTGAGTAAAGTCTGTCGTCAAAGTATTTCTGTATAATTGTCTTAAACGACTGCGTTCCCAAACAGCAGCATCCGCCTCTGAAAGCAGTGACAGCATTTATTGTGTTTCGTCTGCTCGCTCTGAGGCGCAAGTCATTTATCTAGGGATGCACGATATTATCGGACCGATATCGGCTGATAATGGCTTTAAATGTAAATATCGGCATCAGCCCGATATGAAAAATTATGCCGATAAGAGGAATACGTTAACTCACATGTGCTCAGGGTGTGCTAATGATTAGATCACATCAACAGTGTGGCTCATTCTTGAAGCAAAGATTTGTCTGAATGATGATTAGACTCACTGTTTGGATCGCTGCATTTATTCTGTGAATAATAAAGCAGTAATTGATGTCATAAAATAATGAATATGTTTTGATTTAAAGGTCAGAAGCTATCGCTTACATGAATAAAATAAAAACATTACAAACACGACACCTGTAAATTAAATAATTGTATACTGATTTATTCATTAATGTGTAATATGTTTTCTTTTTTAAACAAATCATAAGCTCTAAAAGATTTTCAGAATTTGTACAACTCTTTTGCTTTAGACCATCTACAAATGTTAAATCTTAAAATAAAACGTTAGGGTTAACCTTGCATCTTTCTGGGGGGGAAAAAATGCAGCGATTGATATATTTATAGCTATTTTCAAAGCTTCAATGTACTGTCAAAAAACCTTCATTATTGTTTATTTAATTCTCTGAGCAAAAATATGAATTTGCTACAGATGCTGATATTTCTATGATGAAATTGTGATGTAAATCAATGAGATCTTAATAACAGTAGAGCAGATACTGACATAAAATGATCTAAATATCAGTCGTCGCTCTATATCTACAATAATATGACTTAGTAAGATGAGATTGAAATTATCCAAACATATAATGCAATGCAATCCAGTGCTAAGTGTTCATCTGGAAATATGACTGCAGTTATTCTGACATTTACCTGATAAAAATCAGTCAAGATTTGACAGCAGAAAGACTCATGAAGTTGGACGCTTGTACAATTACACTAAAAGAGCTTTTACTGGATAAAACACTCTAAACTCTCAATCAGAGACAGA